TAACCATCCAGCTCTATTTTAGTTACTGCTTGCATGGTATACCTTTTTTTTCATCCTTTCACTTTCGTCTTTTTATCTTTGAATCTAAGGTATGTTTCTTATAGACTAGCATATAGTTGGATTGTATTTGTTTTATCCAATCCATTATATTTTTTGTTTTCTTTATGTCTGTGTCTTTGGTTTTCCCTCCTTTATTGCCTCCTTTTATATTAAATGTATATTCTTTTATATTAAATGTATATTTTCTAGTGTAACACTTAATTTCTTCAAAAATCTTTAATTGTACTTTTTAGTTGTTTTCTCAGTAGTTTTTCTAGGCCTTTCAGTATACATATTCACTTATCAAATTTTACTTCGGATGTATTTTAAGGAACTATAAAAACTTTACTCCTATATAGCTCTACTCCCTCCCTCCCTTTTTTTTGTGATATTGTTATACATACAGCATCTAAATATGTTACAAACCCAACAATACATTGTTATAATTATTACTTGATATAATTGTATGTCTTCTAAATAAGCTGAGAGAAGAATGAAAGTGAAGTATATATTTAGTTTGTTATATTAACCTTCTTATTTACCATTTCTGGTTCTCTTTATTTCTTTCTATGGGTTTGAAATACCATTTGGCATCATTCTTTTACTTAAATACATCTTTGCTCCCACCCAATTCTTTTGTGTTTATTGTCAACTATATTATATTTCTATATTATTGGCCCAACAATACAGTGATACGTATTGTTTTATATAATTGCTTTTTTTTTTAAAGATTTTTATTGGGGAATTGGGGGGATGGGAACAGTGCTGGGGAATTGGGGGAAGGGGAACAGACAAGTTGTTGTCGTTTTGTTCTTCAGTCTAGTTGTGGAGGACGTTGCTTCACTGGCCCAAGTTGGCACCATCATTGCGCTTTTCCCGGGTGAGGCAGATCAGTCGCCGGCTTCTGGACGGCAACTCACTGCGGCTGCTGGCTGCTCACGCTGGCTGCTGGCTACACACGGTAACCCATGGCAACCCACTGCCACAGGGGCTGCAGCCTACGCTGTCACCGGCAACTCAGGCAGCCCAGCTCCAGGTTGAGCTGTTGTTCAGCATCTTAGCTGTGGAGGGCAGTGTCACTGGCCCTCATATGTGGGATCTGAACCGGGGCTCTCTGGCGTCCCAAGCCAGTTCTTAACCATCGCGCCACTCGACCGGCCCTATAATTGCTTTTTAAATCAGTTAAAATAATAAAGGATAAGCAAATATGCAATTATATTGTCTTTTATAAATACAGTAATTACCTTGGTTTGTGAGCATAATTCGTTCCAGAAACAAACTACTCATATTGCAAGACATCGCTCATTTACCAACTTAAAATGTATTAGAAATGTTTGCTCGTCTTGTGGAACACTCGCAAACCACATTACCGTTACTTACAATCCAAGGTTTTACTGTACCTACCAATTACGTTCCAGCACTCTTTGGTTTTCCATGTAAATTCAGCTTACTCTCTGGTGTCATTTGCTTTCAACCTGAAGAACTTCCTTGAGTGTTTCTTGTAAGACAGGTAGGCCAGCAACAAATTTTCTCAGCTTTTGTTCACTTGGGAGTGCTTTTATTTTATCTTAAGCTTTGAAATATAGTTATACTAGATATAAGATTCTTGTTTGATAGTTTGTTACTTTTAGCACATAGACTGTTATCCCATTCATTGCCTTCTGGCCTACATTGTGTCTGATGAGACGTCAGCTTTTGAACTTAATGGAGTTCCCTTGTGTATAATGAGCTACTTTTACTTGTCTCTCATTACTTTCAAGACTTTTTTTTAATCTTTGTCTTTCAATATTTTGCTTATGCTGCATCTGGGTGTGGATCTCTTTGCATTTTGCCTGTTTGGACTTTGTTGAATTTTGAGGATATGTAGATTAATGTTTTTCTTCAGATTTGTTGCTGCTCCTTTCTTCTCCTGGTACACCCATTACACATGTCATTGTAGTTAATGATATCCTCACATTTCTTTCAGGCTCTGTTAATTTTTCTTCATTCTTTTTTTTCTCTGTTCTTCAGATTGTATAATCTCTATTGATACATCTTCACGGTTACTAATTCTTTCTTCTGCCAGCTCAAATCTGTTGAGCCCCTGTAATGAATTTTAAATTTTTGTTGTACTTTTCTGCTATGGAATTTCCATTTGTTTTTTTTGTTTTTATCATTTTTATCTTTTTATTCATATTTTCTATTAAATGAAAGAATACTTTGAAGTAGGCATGCTTTCCTTTAGTTCTTTGAACATATTTATAATTATTTTCAATTTTTATGGACCAAAGTTCTGTGGCTTGCTCTTTTTTTTTTTTTTCTGTATGTAGGTCACATTTCACTATTTTTTGCACGTCTCCCAATGTTTTGTTGAAAACTGAATATCTTAGATAATATATTGCATATATGATACATTGTAAAATAATGTACCTACTCTTGATACTGATTCTCTGCCCCCCCCCCCCGCCCCAGATTGATGTTGTTTGCTTGGTCATTTGTTTGTTTAGAGACTTGGATGTACAAACTCTGTGAAGTCTGTTGCTCTTGCAGTGTGCAGCCTCTGCTGTCCTTGCTCAGATTTTTTTTTCCCCTCATTTTGTATCATTTGGCTTAGGTACCTAGGGATCTGCCCCTGTGTCAGCATAAACCTCTTATTAATCAAAGGTTGTGCTTAAACCTCCTTAACCAATTAGATTTTTCCCTTTTACTGTTGTATATGAGTGTGTAGCTTGAAGGCTGCTATCACAGCTCAAGTTTACTTTGCCCGCTGTCCACCAGGGGACTTTCAGCTTGGAAATTCTCTCTTTGCTTCTGAGAAGGGCAGCCTTGGGTGTGCACAATCTTCCAGACTAATAGGGAAGCATGTGATTTAATTTTATTTATTTATTTGAACTTTATTTTTATAGAACAGTTTTAGGTTCACAGCAAAATTGAGAAGGTACATAGAATACCCATATTCCCTGCCCCCACCCCAAGCTCAGCCTCCCCCATTGTCAACATTCCCCATCAGAATGGTATCTCTGTTAACAAGTGATGAACCTACCTTGACACGTCTTAATCATCCGTAGTTCCTGGTTTATATTACAGTTCATTCTTGGTACTGTACATTCTGTGGATTTAGACAAATGTATAATGACATGTATCCATCATCATTGTATCATACAGAGTGTTTTCACTTCCCTAAAAATCCTGTGTTCTGCCTCTTCATCCTTCCTCCTTTCCTCCCAACCCTTGACAGCCCCAGATTGTTTTAGTTTCCATAGTTTTGCCTTTTTCAGAATGTCATATAGTTGAAATTATAGAGTATGTAGACTTTTTCATCTCAGCTTCTTTCACATAGTAATATGCATTTAAAGTTCCTCCATTCTTTTCATAGCTCAATAGCTCATTTCTTTTTAGCATTGAATATTCCATTGTCTGGATGTACCACAGATTATTTATCTATTGCCCTACTGAAGGACATCTTGGAAGGTTGCTTCCAAATTTTGGCAGTTATGAATAAAGCTGCTGTAAGTTTTTATTAAAATTTAAGTTTTCAGCTCCTTTGGGTAAATGCCAAGAAGTGCAGTTGCTGGGTTGCATGGTAATAATATGTTTAATTTGTAAGAAACCACCAAACTGTCTTCCAAAAGTGGCTGTACCATTTTGCATTCCTGCTAGCATTTGGTATTAGTGCTCTGGATTTTGGTCTTTCTAATAGGTGTATAGTAGTATCTTGTTGTTTTTTTAATTTGCATTTCCCTGATGACGATGACATATGATATGGAGCATCTTTTCATATGCTTATTATTTGCCATCTGTATGTTTTCTTTGGTGAGGTGTCTGTTCAGGTCTTTTGCCCATTTATTAATGATTGTTTTCTAAATGAGTTTTAACAGTTCTTTGTATATTAGATAACAGTCCTTTATAGATGTGTATTTTGCAACTATTTTCTCCAGTCTAGGATTGTCTTCTCATTGTCTACACAGTGTCTATTGCAAAGCAGAAGTTTTTAATTCTAATGAAGTACAGCTTATCAATTATTTTTTGCAGGGATCTTTGCCTTTGGTATGGTATCTAAAAAGTCCTTGTCATACCTAAGGGAACCAGAAACGGTAAATAAGAAGACTAATATAGCAAACTATAAATGTATACTTCACTTTCATTCTCTCAGCTTATTTAGAAGATGTACGATTATATCAAGTAATAATTATAACTGTATTATTGTTGGGTTTGTAACATATTTAGATGCTGTATGTAATCTTTAATTGTATTTTTTAGTTATTTTCTCAGTTTTTCTAGGCCTTTCAGTATACATATTCACTTATCAAATTTTACTTCAGTTGTATTTTAAGGGAATATAAAAACTTTACTCCTATATTAGCTCTACTTCCTCCCTCCCTTTTTTGTGTATGGAGTTGTATGAGTTCTTTATAAATTTTGGATATTAATCCCTTACCAGATGTATTATTGGCAAATATCTTCTTCCATTCAGTAGGTTGTCTTTCTGTTTTGTTGATGGTTTCTTTTGCTGTGCAAAACCTTTTTAGTTTGATGCAGTCCCGTTTGTTTATTTTTTTCTTTTGTTTCTCTTGCCCGATGAGACATATCCAAAAAAATATTACTAAAGGTAATGTCTGAAAATTTGCTACCTATGTCATCTTCTTGGCATTTTATGGTTTGGGGTCTTACATTCCATTTTGAGTTTCCTCTTGTATATGGAGAAGAAGGTGGTCCAGTTTCATTTTTTGCATGCATCTGTCCAGTTTTTCCAGCACCATTTATTGAATAGATTGTTTTTATCCCAATGTATATTCTTGCTTTCTTTGATAGATTTAATGACCTTATAGGCATGGGTTTATTTCTGGGCTCTTTATTCTGTTCTATTGGTCTGTTTTTTTGTTGTTTTTTTTGTTTTTCTACTTCAGCTAAAGACAGCCTTTACTAAGCTCCAAAGCAACCTTTTGGGTAAGTGGTACCTTACTCTTATTAAAGAAAAGTCTTTACTGCTGAGGGCACTGCGTCTCTGGAGTTGATTTAGAGGACACGTATAGAATAGGGTGTGATTTCTTCCAAGTTTTCTTTTCCAATTTGCTTGCAGTTTCTTTTCCTTCTTTCACTTCTGTTTGAAGCTTTGATTCAGCAGCTAACCTGGGAGAGTTTCCACTTCTTTCACTTGTGGCTGGAACATCTATAAGTTTCACACGTTTCTTTTCCTTTGTTGTTTGATTAGTCACAGGCAGATTTTTGTGAGGAGAGAGAATGACTTCTGGTGTGCTTACAGAAACTAACTGCAAGTTATCATCTTCTAAATTGTTAGTACAGGACTGTGCCTCCTCTTTCTGAGGTGGTAATCTGTAAACTTCCCCAACAGCACTGTCGGCACATACATTGTTAGGGGTGGTGATATCCACAGGCAGTACCTCACGCCTCTTTTTGAGTACAGGCACTTCAATTTTTTCTTCAGGTTCATACTTCAGTTTTAACTCATCTATTTTAGCTCTCAGTTTCATATTTTCACTTTGGAAAAGCTGGAGGCATCTTTCATTGGTAAAACGTTTTCTGCTCAATATCCAGAACCTGTTGGCTCTCAAACAATGCTTTCATTCTCTGTATGGACAAATTCACCTTTAGTGCTTTCATTTTCTTTGTTTAAGTTGTCAAGCTTTATCTGAAGTAAAGCTGTGTAATAGGTATTATCTTTCAGAGCATCAGAGCTGTCTGAAAGCTTCGATTCCATACTTTCATATAAACTCTTAAATTTCTCCAGGTTTCTAATTTCACCTGAGAGATGTTTAATTTCACCATTCTTCTGCTCCAACATGGCAAACAACCATTCCTGCTGCTCACATTCAGTTTGAGACCCTTTCATTTGTAGCAGTGTGACGATTTGTAACTTCATTCTTTGCATTTGTTCTCTGTTAAATGCATTTTGCTTCTTTAGTGACTGATACTTGACTTTCATACTGATAAACTGACGTTCCATTGCTACCCTTCGATCTTCCACCTCTGCAAACAAAGAGTTGCCTTTACTATTGGGGTCCAGGGCTTGCTGGAGTGCCTGGTCTAATTGCACTTGAAAATCTTGATTTGCTACACAAGCTTTCTGTAAGGCATTACAGTAAGAAACCGCTTCTTTTTCTCGCTCCTCTTTTTCTTCTTTAAGCCGCTCAACCTGGCACATTAAATTAGAATTAAGTTCTAGTTGTGCTTGTCTGTATTGTAGTTCATTCACTTCTTCTTTGAGGGTGGTCTTCATACTTTCCATTTCAGTCAGCTCAATTTTAAGAGCCAGCATCTCTGAAGACATGCTTTCATTTACACATTCAGACATTATCCACATTTCCTTTGATTTACAAGATATGAGTCCCTTCTGATGATCTACTTTGTGCTTCAGCTGCTTTTCACTAAGCCTAGCTTCATCTAACTCCGCTTTCAGTTTTTCTAACTTATTTTTTAGTTCATTCACTTCCTGTCTATGGCTTCGGCTCAGTTGTTCTTCTAATTTCTCCAGGTGCATTTTTTTTATCTTGTTTAAGAGCTTCACTTTCAGAGCTCAGACTTTCTAACATTCGACTCTTGAGCTCAACTTCTCTCTGAAGAGTATATTTTTCTTGTTCATAATTCTCAGTAATGGTCATCATTTCATTACGACATTTATCTAATTGTGTCTGCAATTCATTTCGACTCTCCACTAGTTGCAAACCATACTGTGCAGCTTTTAGTAGCTCTTCTTCAACATCATTGAGCTTGTAACGAAGATCTGAGATTATATTTACCTCCATAATTTTTTCCTATTTTTTATCTACTCCGAGACGTCAGCCAACTCCCTCAGCTTGCTCTCTGGTAGGCGCCACAACTTTTTGAATGCATTTCCCGCGAGAACATGCCTGGTCTGTGTGTTTTTATGCCAGTAACATGCTGTGTGATACCTCCAACTTTGTTCTTCTTTCTATTCGGGGTCTTTTGTTGTTCCATATAAATTTTAGGATTATGTATTCTAGTTCTGTGAAAAATGCCATTAGTACTCTGATACGTATTGCATTGAATTTATGGATTGCTTTGGGTAGAATGGACATTTTTTTTTTCTTTTTCTTTTTAGCTGAGCCATCCTGCCACCTGTTGGTAGCTCAGCGGCAGCTCAGCTCGGGCCGGGCATCGAACTGCTGTTGTTTTAAGTGTCTTACAATTTTCTGAGTACAGGTTTTTTACCTCATTGGTTAAATTTATTCCTAGGTATTTGCATTTTTCTATGTAATTGTAAATGGGATTGTTTTCCAAATTTCTCTTCCTGATAGTTCTTTATTTGTGCATAAAAATGCAACTGATTTCTGAATATTAATTATGATTCTGCTAGTTTACTAAATTCATTTATCAGTTCTAATAGTTGTTTTCTGATGAAATCTTTTGGGTTCTCTATATATAATATCATGCCATCTGCAAATAATGACAGTTTACATGCCTTTTATTTCTTTTTCTTGTTTTGATTGGTAGGGCTAGGATTTCCAATACTATGTTAAACAAAAGTGGTGAATGTGAACATCCTTGTCTTGTTCTGATGTTACGTAAAACACTTGTAGCTTTTCACCATTAAGTATAATGTTAGCAGTGGGTTTGTCATATACGGTCTTTATTATGTTGAGATATGGTCTTTCTATTCCCACTTTCTTGAGAGTTTTGTTATAAGTGGATGCTGGATTTTGTCAAATGCTTTTTCTGCATCTAGTGATATGATCATATAATTTTTACCTTTCATCTTGTTTATGTGGTATATCATGTTAATTGATTTGCCGATATAGAACCATTCTTGCATCCCAGGAATAAATCCCACTTGATCATAGTTTATGATCTTTTCAATGTATTGTTGAATTCAGTTAGCTAATACTCTGTTCAGGATTTTTGCATCTGTGTTCATTAGGAATATTGGCCTATAATTTTCTCTTTTTTTGTGATGTCTTCAGTTTTGGAATCAGGTTGGCCTCGTAAAATAAGCTTTGTCAGCCTTCCCTCCACTTGAATTTTTTGATAGTTTGAAAAGGATAGGTATAAATTCTTCTTTGCATGTTTGGTAAAATTTACCTGTGAAGCTATCTGGTTCTGGACTTTTGTTTGTTGGGAGTTTTTGGTTACTGACTCAATTTCGTTTGTAGTAATCAGCCTGTTCAGATTTTCAGTTTTTTCTTGACTCAATCTTGGAAGATTGTATGTTTCTAGGAATATATCCATTTCTTCCAGATTGTTGTTTGTTGGCATATAATTGTTTGTAGTATTTTCTTAGAATGTTTTCTATTTCTGTGATGTTAGTTGTCACTTATGTTTTATTTTATTTATTTGGGTCCTCATTTTTTTGTTGAATCTGGTTAAAGGTTCATCAATTTTGTTTATCTTTTCCAATAACCAGTTTTTGGTATCACTGATCTTTTGTTTTTTCGGTTTTTTTTTTTAGATTCTATTTCATTTATTTATGCTGTCATTTTTACTATTTCCTTCCTTCTACTCAACTTGGGCTTTGTTTGCTGTTCTTTTTTTAGTTCTTTTAAGTGTAATGTTACATTGTTTGAGATTTCTCTTGTTTCTTGAGTTGGGCCTGTCTGTATTGCTATGAATTTCCCTCATAGGATTGCTTTCACTGTGTCCTGTAGATTTTGGGTTGTTGTGTTTTCTTTTTCATTTGTCTCAAGGTATCTTTCTTGATTTCTTCCTTTATCTCCTTGTTTTCCCATTTATTGTTTAGTAGCATGTTATTTAGCCTCCATGTGTGTTTTTCAGTTTAATTGATTTCTAGTTTCATGTCATAGTGGTCGGAGAACACACTTGATTTATTGAGTCTTCTTAATTTATTGAGACTTGTTTTGTGGCCAAGCATGTAATCTATCTTGGAAAGTGTTTCATGTACACTTGAAAAGCAGGGTAGCGCTGTGTTGTAGTCTGAAGCCCGCCTCCAGATGTGTTGGTTCTTGGGCCTCTTGGGAGAGGCTCCCATGCAGCCCAAGGCCAGCCACTGCCTGTGACTGGCCTGGGGCTGCCTAGTAGGAGCTACAAAGCTACCCGCAGTTGATCGCTGCTAGTGCTCAACCTGGCAGCGCATGTAGAGGCCATGCTGCGTACCAAGGCCAGCTGCCACCAGTACTGGGCCTGGAGCAGTTCAGGAAAAGGTCCAGAGCACCCTGAGGCCTGCTGTCGACTGCCTGTAAGGCTCAGCCGCTGAAAAGCCTTGTGTGGTACACAAGTTGGGTATTGTAGGGTCTCGGGGATTCACCAGGGTGGGGTTAGTGGTGTTTGACAGGTTAATGCAGATTCGGGTTTGGTGCCCGTGCTAAGCCTGGTGCCTACAGATACCCAAGAGTTGTCAAAGACAGGTTGCAGCACAGGCCAGGGCTGGCTGCTTGGCTGCTGAAAGAGCTTCATATGGTGTGTGAGCTGGGGCTGGCTTTTTGCCGCAGAAGGTACCTCCGATTGTGTGCAAGTTGGGTGAGGCAGGTTCCAGGGAGTCATCAGGGTGGTGCAAGCAGATTTCACCAGGTTAATGCAGATTCATATTTGGATGTGTGGGCAGAGGGCTAAACACAAAAAAGATGGCGCCTGCCTGAATATTGCACTGGAGGAGGGCTCAACACAGGGACAATGGCAACCATCCCTCTGACACTCATACCATAGCCGTACAACTCAGTTTCTCCCTCTGTCTCTGGTGCCCCCCTGAGTTGTTGTCCCTCCACCAGGGCCTGAAATGAGTGCCTAGGAGCAAGCAAGTCTGTGTATGGGCCCTTTAAGTGGATACCTGAGTTTCCAGCAGCCTTCCATCTCTCCCTGATGTCCGGAATCCCCACTAATTTTCACAGCTAAATGTGGGGTCTCTGGTATTCCAGGCTATGTGGTCCCAGAGTGGATCTGGGAACCCTCATTTCCTCAGTGGATACATCTGCAGCTGAGATAGTCTTGCCAGTTCTCATCCAACACACATGGGTGTGTGGGGCCAGCCTGTTTTGCGTCTTCACTCCTACACGTCTTAAAGTGGCTTCTTTATATCCTTAGTTATAGGACTTCTATTCAGTTAGTGTTCAGATGGTTCTTCTGGTTTGTTGTTCTATAATTTATTTGTAATTTTAACGTGGTCATGGCAGGAGGCATTTACCTACTCCACCATCTTGACCAGACTCCTTTTTGGTAAATTTTTAGGGTTTTCTACATAGACAATCTGTGCCATCTGGGTTCAAGGACAGTTTGATTTCTATCCGTCCAATCTGTGTATTTTTTATTTCCTCATCTTATTGCATTAACTAGAATTGCCAGTACAGTGTTGAAGCGGGGAGTGGTTAAAAAGGGACATTCTTGCCTTGTAACTGATTTAGTAGGAAAGTTTCATGTTTCTCAGCATTAAGTATGATGTTAGTTATACAGTATATTTCTAAATGTTCTTTATCAAGTTAAGGAAGTTCCCCTTTATTCCTAGTATACTGAGAGTTTTTATAATGAATGGGTGTTGTATTTTGTCAAATGCCTTTTCTGTATCAGTGTGATCATTTGATTTTTCTTTTTTCATCCTGTTAATATGGTGGATTACATTAATTTTTGAATGTTGAACTATCCTTGCATATATGGGTTATACCACTTGGTCATGGTGTATATAATTCTGTTTTTGCATTGTTGGATTCTATTTATTGCATTTATGTTCATGAAGGTATTAGTCTGTAGTTTTTTTGTAATGTCTTTGTTTGGCTTTGGTATTAGGGTAATGCTGGCCTCATAGAATGAGTTATGAATTATTCTGTCTGCTTCTATCCTCTGAAAGAGATTGTAGAGAAGTGTATTTTCTTCCATAAATGTTTGGTTGAATTCACCAATGAATCCATTTGAGCCTCATGCTTTTCTGTTTTGAAGAATTATTATTGATTCAATTTACTTAATAAATATGGGCCTATTCAGATTGTCTATTTCTTGTGTTAGTTTTGGCAAATTATGTGTTTCAAGGAATTGGTTTGTTTCGTTGTCAAACTTGTGGACGTAGAGTTGTTTATAGTATTACTTTATTTTCCTTTTATTGTCCATAGCTTCTGTATAGTGATATGTCCTCTTCCATGTCTGATATTAATAATTTGTGTCCTCTTTTTTTCTTAGCTAGCTTCGCTAGAGGCTTATAAATTTTATTGATCTTTTCAAAGAACCAGCTTTGGTCTTGCTGATTTTCTGATTCCTGTGTTCAATTTCATTGACGTCTACTGTAATTTTTCATACTTTTTTTCCACATTGGATTTGATTTGTTCTTATTTTTCTAGTTTCCTAAGGTGGAAGTTTACTGATTTTAGATTTTTCTTTTTTCTAATATGTACTTTCCGTGCTATAAGTTTCCCTCTGAACACTGCTTTAACTGTGTCTCACAAATGTTGATGTTATTTTCTTTTTAATTTAGTGTAAAACATTTTTAAATTTTGTGATTTCTTCTTTAGCTTGTGTTATTTAGAGATGTGTTGTTTAATCTCCATGTATTGGGGGGTTTTCCAGCTATCTTTCTGATATTGATTTCTAGCTTAATTCCACTGTGGTCTGAGAGCAGACACTGCATGATTTCTATTCTTTTAAATTTGTTAAGATGTGTTTTCTGGCCTGTCTTGAATGTTCCTGGTGAGCTTGATTAAAATGTGTTTTCTGCTGTTGTTGGATGAGGTAGTCTATAGATATCAATTATATCTAGGTAATTAATGGTGTACTTGAATTCAACTTTGTTCTTAGTGATTTTCTGACTACTGAATCTGTCCATTCCTGATAAGAGGTGTTTAACTCTCCATCT